GCCTTTGGATGGAGATTTACTGCTGATCACAGAACAGTGCTTCACTGAAAGATACACATGACAATCGCAGCTTCTGTCGAATCGCGATCTCGATTCCATTTCGATTTATCGTGCAGCCCTAGGTCAAACTTTAAATCACACACGTTTTGATATTACATCTTGTACTATGTCTGTTCGGACAGCCTTGGTTCCCTTGTGTTTTTGGTTAATTCAGTCAAACATATATGCAGCAGATGTGAAGTCATCCGTTAACTGGGCTTCCTTGCTTCAGTGATCGCTCCTGGAAAAATGTCAGAATAGAGTCGGCTGCAGGCCACTTTTGCGTTAGTCAGAAAAGGGCACATAAAATGGCCCCACTATGCATCTGACTATTGGCTACAGGACTCCATCTGTTGTCATAGACGCTAAAGGGTAGTAAAAATGAAGGACAAGACACTTATCTGCTTACAGAAGGGCAAAATGGAGAAAAAATGATATGCAGCGTGCAACAAACGTCACATTTTTGACATTTGCTGAGAATCGCACACCTAAATAGAGATGAAGAAAGAGTGGATGTTGCGTGACAATTCCAAGTGGGAATTTTTTGTATACATTTTTTGGGCCAATTTAAAATGATTTGAATCGAATATCCTTGCATTGGCAGCCTGGTTTCTGAACGATTCCAAACCATGAATAAATCAAAAATTAGAAATTTGGCAAGAACTCCACATTGACTGCAGTAGCTATTTGTTTTTTTGTAATAAGCTCTCTTTTTTCCATTTTGGCTCAGACAGAAGAGCTCTTAAAGGGGTTCCACCGCACCATATGTCTCCACACTAAACCAGAGATATTCAGTGTACTCCCTCTTACAGGGTTGAAATAAGCAATTGAAAAGACATCTTTTTGTTGGGTAGTTCTTGGAAATAATGGCTTGATTGTTTAATGCAAAGTATTATTATATCATGTATGCAAACAATTGGGTTACTGTTGAAGAAATGGTAGAATGTGGCAATAGAAAATCCAAGGTCATGGATTGATTCCCAGGAAACATGTCCTGATAAAATGTATAATGATAAAAACTGCTGCTTTAGATTAATGCAGTTTCAATTATAAGCTCAAAAACGAGCTATTGTTAAGCTGAATTATGAATGAATTATACTGTGAAAGATATCCAGAACTGCCTGTTTAAGAAAAAAAAATGTTTTACTATATGATCAATTCTTATTTTTCAATTATGAAGGATCTTTAACTAAATACTTCTGCTGAAAAAAATTTGGTAAGCTTTGTTTTAACAACCTGGTTTTTAGTCCCAAAAAGAGTTGTCCTTTGAGGACTGCACATCGTTTTTTATGAGTAATGCATAATTTTGTGTGCTTGCAGATTTTATTAGCCTAGGACGGGTGTAGTATTTCATTCAGAGAGGAGCTCTGTCTTGATGCTGTGGTCTTTGGCTGCTGCAGTGCTTTACTTTTCCAGCGCAGTGCCCCAAACAGTCAGTAAATCGTTCCTGTCCCTCTGCTGGAGCCAAACTCAAAGCTCTATAAACATAATGAAGAAATGAAAAGAACACATTTGTTTTGATATTAGAACTTCTTCAAAGAAATAGAGAAAGCGGACGAAATAACATTCTCTGGAATGTAATAAACAATAAAGGACACTATGCATAATCTTGTAATTTTAAATGTTGACAGAACGTTAACAACACAGTTGCGGATAAAAATGTATCATAGCTGTTTTTTTTAAATATTAATAAGGTGGGTTAAATAACATAAGACAGCAGCTGTGTAGTCAAACAAAAAGAAAATTGATGCAAAAAGAAAAGTAATATCTGCACCAAGTGACACCCAACAGAACATGGCTATGAATTTTATTAGAAATTTGTATTGTATAGCGGAAAATATGCATGATGCGTTGTCATGCAAGCCAATCAGCGAAGAGCTTATTGACACGTCTGGTTGTATGTGTGTATGTGTATGTGTGTGTGTGTGTGTGTGTGTGTGTGTGTGTATGTATATATGTATGTATATATATAT